CTTTCATGCCCATGAGCTCAATAGTTACCCACACTGGTCATCCCCACAACCTTGCATAATGTCCCGTCACAACACAGAGCTTTTGTATGGCTTCTGGTACTCCTTTGTGATCTAGCATCTTGATACCCACAAGGGTTTCCTGAGATGCAGAATCTATGACAAAGTTGCACTTTTGGCCATCCAGCATTTCTGTCACGTAGACACTGTGTGTACTTGCCATTTTACACCTAGCTGTTGGGAATTTCACAATGGGGGATGGTGGGCATCCCTCAGCACCAACCACTACTGGTTTCCCGAAGCTGACTTATTGGTAGTATTCTTCTTACACTGGCTCCTCATATGTCCTTGCTCTATACAGTTCCAACAACCTTTCTGGGTAGCAGGCTTTCCTGCTGTGGCATCTTCCCTGTGTTGAAGTTTCCAGCATTGAGCTTTCTTGTTCCTAGGTTTGTTACAGTGCCAGCAAAATTCCCTCAAACCCCTCTGAAAGCTGCCCTTTTCTGGCCTTGAATCATGATGACTGTACTCACCTTGGTACCTCTGTGCTGGACTTAACATAGGATTCGAATTCAAGAGCTCTGGCCATTGCATCCTGCATAGTAGAGGGGTGTGCTTGCTTCACTTGTATCTTCAGTTGTGGACTGTCCAAGGCATCTACAAACTGATCCCTCAGCAACAGCTTGAGGACATTGTGTGGTGCAGTTGGGTAGGCCTTGTGTGCCTTACTTTTCGAATCCTGTGCCAGCTCTTGCAGGCTCTCCCCTTTAGCACGGACTCTAGTCCTAAACCTAGTCCTGGACTTTGGACTGATTTTGAGTTCCATACCTGAGTTCTAGAGCAGCTACCAGTACTCTATAGTTGTGCCTGTTGTCTGCTGTCCAAGTATTTCCAGTGGTTGTCCCTTCAAGCTCGTTGCCAGGTACACTGTCTTCTGCTCCTCTGTCCATCCATTCATTTCTGCAAAGAGCTCAAATTGTGCTCTTTATGCTTCCCACGGTGCCTTCCTATCGAATTCCTGTGGCTTCCTTCGTACTAGATCACCCATATTGCT